AAGGCAAGCGAAAGCGCGGAGCCCCGAAGAAGAGGTGGAGAGACGTGATCAAGAAGGATCTAAGTGAAGTCATGGCCACAAGCGAGGACAGATTAGGTGGTGAGCGACTGACAAAAAACAGGCGCTACCTGTTGACTTCGCGGGAATAACGCAGGAGAAAAAGACATGAGGTCGAATGCCTGAAGGTCCCATCTAGTCATTTTTTTGAATTCATTTTGATGAGAAAATAGCAAATAGAAATTGAATGGATTAGATGTGAACCAATCAGTGAAGAGCACCAAAAAAGTTTGAAATATGAGGAAATGTGGTTAGAGCGAGTCAATCAATGAAAGCACGAAAAAAGTCTGAAATATGGGCAATGGCCACCAGGATGATGCAGACCTCTTATGGTTAGGTGCAGTGACGATGAAGGCAAAAAAACCTTGAGCACGGAATCGGGGGGCGGGGGGACGGACGTATATCGTCATGCAGAATCACCGAGACTCAGGGTAGGCCCTTTTCAAGGCAGTGTAATGCCCTTATTTAGCATTTATTCTTACCATAGTTAATTTTAGTTCAAAACATAAAACTAAATTACCACATTAGGACTATTTATTAATCTCTCTCGTATTTGATGTCCATTTCATGACAAGGGGAGAGCTCTGGGAATACATGGTCTGTACGGTGGTCCGAAGACAAAAATTTAGTAGAGAGGTATTTTCATGTATGGTGTATGATAGTGGAGAGGCGAGAAGGGATATTAAAGGTTACTTATAACGAAGATAAGGCATTAGGCACTATCGATCCCTACTGGTATGCACGATGCATTCTATCACTTCGAATCGAGCGGCGATTTTAACACGTTATGGCTTTTTAATGGACTTGCGATGTAACTTTTGTGGTCCACATTGCAAGTGCTTTTTTATCCTTACAGAGATTCTGGTACATCAAATTTTTTTAGTAATCTTGTTATGATTTCCTTCGGGCACCAGATGGAATCCGTTGGCTTTCAAGGCGGATTCGGATCCGAGATTTAACCGGGATTGTGCGGGGGGGAGGTTTCGGTATTGCCGGCTATAAGATTGCACCTGTTGCGATGCAAAGGAAGAAACGCGCTATCGCAATATACGGGGCATCCTCCAGGACTAAGCCTAGGAGAGGCAGGAGTATTGGAGAAAATGGAACTGGCTCACAGCGGATCTCGAGGGTCTCCCTGGTGAAGCTATGTTGTCAACAACAAGAAGATGTGCTCGGGTCTTAGATGGACTGATAACGCTGATGTTTTTTTTTTTTTTTTTTTTTTTTTTTTTTTTTGTTCCCCATATCTTTGCATAGCGTCGATTGACAGAACTGGAGGGTAAATAAAGGGGCAGATGGTACATCGTGAAAAACACAAGGGAGCGAAACCATTTGTGACAAAGAGACGATAGTGACCGTGAACGTTTCTTTCCACTGGCGACCCTGATCCCGTAAACTTGCATGTGGAGGTGGTCGTCAGATACCATTCAACACTTCTGCTGTGTGAGGTAGATGTGGATAAGGGCGAGGAAATTCCCGGACATAGCTCTGCTACCACGTGGAGAATAGTGTCGAGAGTGAATGCAGAGCGTTGGAGCAGCATGAGAGTGAACATCCGTGCAGGAGGGCGCGACTGAAGACGAAAACCCTCGACGGGTCGTAGACGAATCCTCGACCGATTTCCACCCTGCCGGGGGACACTGTGCATGACACCAAATATTGCGCTAAATATCACCAATACATAAATTTCAAGTGAAAATGAAAGGATGCAAATTTGAGAACCAATCTAAAATTTTTGGAGAAAAAAGGGTTCACCCATACATCTACAAGGTACTGCACCACCGTAATGATTAAAAGGATCACCCTGGGCGCCACTGCGTTACCGTACAGCTGGTAGAATGTGATTGAAGGTTGATCGTGGAACAGTTGTGAAGTGCTGAAGGCAGCATATCGAGCCACTCCCTTGCCAACATTCCACACGCAGGGGCCCTTATCACAACTATTCTTGGCCGAGCTATCAATTCCCTGCACACAGACCGGAACCACGAAACGGGCGAATCCGTTTTTCGGCGGTGATAAGCGGTGTCAACCCATGGCCATTCTGACGTCACAGATGCGCCATTCTATAGTGATTGGCAGTGAATTCAAGATATTGATAGACTGGCGTCGTGTACGACTTCACATAAGCCTCATCACGACGTAGTGACTGATTTCTTCGCTAAGCTCTTTGCGAGGTTGTTAAGTAGAACTTATTAGTGACTGACGTTCGGCTTGATCGCCTTCTTAAGAGCTTGAAAGGATCGAGGCTATTTGTGGACGCCCATCCAATCGCCTCCACTACCCTACTGAAATGAACTGAGTGATTGAGGATTTCCTAGCCACATTTTGCAAATGATGAAACAGCTGTTCAGAAACCAAAGAACAAAATTAGGCGCTATCGCAATATGCGGGGGCATAGTGGTGATAATGCATTTGAAAATGATTTTTTTTCTTTGTTTGAAATGGGACAGGCGAGTGAGAATAGACTTCAATGTGCGTGAGCCACTTTTATTCCCCCGGACTCCCCACCCCCGTTCTGGGGGCTTCATCCAGGAGGATGCCCCCGTATATTGCGATAACGCCCAAAACTATGGAAAGCTGTAAAAAAAATCGAGAATCTAATCAGCACATATTCGAGCTACTGTAGCTGCCATTACAAGAGGATTCCAAGAGCTGAATGCTATGTATGGAAGTGGAGCATCGGTTAGACTATGAAGAAACGGGACTGTACTAGAAACCAGCCAGGCCTTCCAGCAGCCCGAGGTAAGCCGTTTAGTATCAGAACTGCTCAGCAAGCACTGGTCGCGGCCTGATACTCAGCCAGTGTACACCTACATAATAGAAGGTGAGCAGGCGTCCTAATGGTTTTATGAAAGCCACGGGAGACGTGCCATGAAAGAGATTACCTAAGGCGGATCACTTGATCTTTCACCCTTCACTTGCTGATATCACTAATGATTAAAGCTACAAAGGGCGCTATGCTCGTAGAGAGGGGGACATTCAAAACAAGGCCTTTAAAAATCGCGATCAGTGACACTGGGACTGAGCCCAGGAAGAGAGTGGAGGGAACGCCAGGGAGAACAACAAGGCTGAGCCCGGGTGGAGAGTGGAAACGTCAGGGAGAACAACAATTGCACACATCCCCCCAGAATCCCTTCTCCTCCCTAAGGCTTAGTCCCAAGCACTGTAAGCTCACTAACCTGAATCTTCCTCCCTTCATCCCTCCCCCCTAACGACATGAACGTGACCCATACTGTAGGGTTTGGCAGAATTACGGAAACCATGCAAGCGCGTAGAACCTAGAAAAGTAAGCGGAATCCCTAGTCTTTACATTGTCTCGTATATTGCCTCCTATCTGCTTTCCCTTCAATGATCGTTCTTTGTCTCAGTTACGTCTACAAATGCCTTATAGAAAGGTTCTTATAACGGTAGTGCAACCTAATCCAGTAGCTTATTGAGTTTCGATGGACACTTAAGCTGAAAGTTCCTACGAGCACAGCTCGGCTAAATTACATATCTCTTCAAGTAGAAATAATTATTTGATAGAAACAGATATAACGCTCTTATTCGGCTTAAAAGGGAGATTATTCATTCAATACTCTATTTAGTTATATATTTACTATATTTGAATTTAATTTATTTTATACGTCTATGCAGATGTGGCCAGATAAATCAATTTGCAGAACCAAAGATATCAAAAGGAGAAAAGCGAAGAAGGGCGGTAAGGGAAACAGCAGTACCCACACGAATATGCTGCCGACCTTGAGGCAAATGCTCGAGAAAAAGAGCTCTGAAATGACTCTCAACAGGAACAGAAGGACTAGGCTCGACTGAGGCAGCAGCGGTAGGGGATAGGGAGGCCTTAGTGATGGTGGGCCGGTATCATTACTGTGATAATATCAAACATGCTATGGCAAGTTCGAGCCAAAACGCTCAAGGGAACGATCCGTTCAGGAATACTGTAACGACGAATAACGAACGTTAGGACAAGTCTAACTTCTGAAATCTATCGAAAGACCTTCAGAGCCGTCAAGGAACGCACAAAGCACATATAAGAGATTCGACCTTCGGAATTCGACTTCAGAAAAACAGAGTTCAGCTAGTCAGTTCAGTCGGTTCCGATTCCTGTCTACCCAATGTGGACTACTTCTTCTTGTGCTATCGCAAGATATGGGGGCATTGGACGACGATGCATTTGAAACCGCGTAAAATATCTCCTTTTTGAATTTGACAGTAAGCCTTAAATGGGTATCTGAGGTATGTAAGCTATTTTAACCTTCCTCGAAGTTTCTGCTCTCTTCCAGCTTAGTCCAAGGGGATGACCCCGTATCTTGCGATAGTGCCCTTCTTCGCAATTCTTCCTCATCTCCAGACCACAGAATTCAGCCCAAATGAGCAGTTGCAAGCATTCAAAAGATCTAGAAACAAGAATAGAATATGAGCGTTGGATCTTATGGGGACTTTTGTTTGACAGGGTTTGAAATGTGTACTTGAGGGGGGGTTGTTTTTCACAGCCTCGGCGAAGGCGACAAAAATCTGATATGAGAGTAATGAAGAAGCTTTTTTGGGCACAGTAAATGTCAGCATGGTTATGAAAAGAGCATAATGTAGAGCAGCAGTGATTAGACTGAAAACTACGGTAGTGCGCCTAGTGCTCCTTCAGATTTTCGCATTGGAGGAAAAGCAGGAAAATGATGAGCAGGAATTGGAAAGGAAGATTGAGGGCCTCAGTCCACGAATAGCGCGACTCTCGGCAATAGCTATGAGCTCGAGTGGAGAGCCATCATCGCAGAAATGGAATTAGAAGAGCGCTGAGGTGATTGCAACGAGTACTGGACAGCATTTTAATGTACGAGTCCTCTAGCTTGAAGCTTGCCAGGCTCCGCCCGCCAATCAATATAGAGACTGCGGCCGGTGCTTTTCTCATCTAATATTCTTTCTCTTCTTTTATGCTCATTTTCACTTCAACGACTCAACTTTAACGATGCCGCCTCAAATTGTTCCTGATTAGTTTCTGAAATGCTTCATGACGAAAAACAGCGTTCTATGTGCGCGCGCAAGCCAGTCGGCGACCACAAGGAGGGTCACCGTGCACGTAATGCCACCTTCAACCAACGCATTGATGCACAAAGAAATGCAATTCCAAAGCGAAGCACTGGAACAATTCTCCGTACGCTCAAATACTCAGCAAGGCTTGGAGGGGGAACCTACTAATGTTGGGATCCTTTCAGTGATCCTTTTTTGAAAATGGCGCAGTGGATAGAGCAGTCTCGCCCCACGCGCCTTCTTAAAGCTAGGGATTACGATAAGATTGGATTGGGTTCATAGTGAAAGTGGGGATGCTGAGTGATGCCCCGGGAGCGAAATGGCCGCCCGAAATCCACCGAGAACGCGTAAAATAGGACCCCTCCCTTTACCCGTTGGCCTTCGAAAATGGACGAGCTGGCAATCAACTTTGTAAGAGCTCGTTAGCACATGAACCCGATCATCATGCCAGCAAAGGCCATGCTTTGAATGATAACGCATTCCATAAACAGTGTGTGTCAAACGCCCACCCCGGCATTTTTTTTGATTTCTTTCAAGCCTAGCATTTCTCCTTCAATAAGTTCCTTACTGGTTATGAGCTTAACATTTTCTGGATCCAATGATGTAGACGGGCAAATTTTTTACACAAAAAAATACCAAGCAAATTGAGCAAACGTTACCCATCTCCGTGTGAAATCTGACGCGCCATGCGCGCATGCTGTCCTCAACGCGATAAGAGAGTTAGAGGATAAACACTCGAAGTGGAATACCTTCTCAAAATGATGAGCGAACAATGATGCTGCCGGCAGGACAATAATGGGTAGAGCACAAGAGGAGATGGAGCTCAGAAAGGATTGGCAGCCCAGGGGCTGCAACTACGCCTTTGGCCACGATAAGAGCCCACGCTTAGGCCATTAGGCCTATCTACTTTCATAGTGCATGCATTCCATGCTCCCCATACACTTTATCGTAATTCCTGCGCTTTTACGTGGTTGTAGAAACTCGCTATGAGGTAATCAAAGTTTTGAGCTGCATAGCGGGGAGCTGCTCCAGAAACCACTGAATAAATTAAACACGCGCTTGTAAGCTCATGCAATTCTGAGTGGCGATTGGAGCCTCAGTGTCTTTCTTCGAGGTTGATCGAGTCTCAACCAAATTCTCGTCCACATTTCAACGTTATCACCGGAACGAATGATGTTATAGTGTTGTGGAGGTTTTTTTTCCTTTAAAGGAGGAATTCACGATTAGAATGAAGGTCGAAGAAAGGGAAACTGACCTAGTTGAGGGACCCACGGACCTCCTGAGGGTGCGAACTGACGCGCAATTCGCATGGAAAAATTTGACCTCGGCGACCTATCATGCCTCAAAGCTGGCGGGTCCGGCGATCTCCGCCCACCGATCATCACTCGCCGTAGTTCAATACGTGGCGAGTGATTAGATAGCTGAGAGAGCGTAGTGTTGAAGAGGGCACAGCGATGAGAGTCGCATCAATGCTCGAATCAACGGGCAAGGAAGGGGTACCATTTCTCGGGTTCTGGGCCGTTTCTCATGGTTCTTCCTTCTTTCGTGTACCACTCACCATCCCTAGGTTAATTTGAAATGGTTGTTTTTTCATCGTGAATTTTCGTCTTAAGGATGTATTTTTTTGAAATGTGCAGAGTGCGTCAAGATTTTCTCGACTTCTAAAATTAGCTATTTCGTGACTGTACAAGTAATCACTTGAGGCGATTCACTCCAATTACGCAATGCCGAAGACGTCAAAGAAGCTTTCCGCGAAAAAAAAATCCATCTTATCTCAATCTTCTGAAAGATGACAGCAGCACTGACGATTGGAGATTGCTCCACCGACCACACCGTTTGAGCATAATATTAGGTTGTCCGGTAAGTAGTGTCGTTTTTTTTTTCAAGACGCGAATTCTTCTCAAGCTACCATTCTCTACCAACTTTACATACCGTGCAAAAGATAATAACTTGCTTTACAAAAAGGTGTGTTGATTTTTTAATTACCCTGCGAAATGTTGAATTACTGCTTGCGAAGTGAGAAGTTCTTGCGACGAAACTATCCAAACCGGCGAATTACTCTGACTCTACGTTCTCGTTGTGCATTTGGGGAGGCGAGCAGTAAAAAAATATTCATTGGAACACATTAAATTTAATTACAAAGAAAATGCACACTTATATACACGTATGGTCACCAGATTCTGGTCAAAATTCCAGCAGCTACTGTTAGGTTTACAATTCTTATTATTGTTGATCTTAACTCTTTCCATGTTAGGAACTGAGATCACATAGCAGTGCCCTCAACAGTTTGAAAGAGGAGAACCCCTTCTCATTGACCCACATATCAGGATGACTAGCAAGTTTCGTGCGGGTTTCTTCGAATTTGCATTTCATCAAAAGCTCAATGATTGATCACGAGTTTGCAGAATCTGGACCTAAAGATTTTCACCGTCGAAGCAGAGGAATAGTGGAACGTTTAGGATTGATCGTAGCTATGAACGGGACATCGCTCAACAGATGAATTTTTGCTGTTTCTATGGAAAATAATTTTGAAGAAATGGAGGTGACTTTCTCGCCGTCCGGGCACTTTGAAAGGGCCTACATTCCCACTTATTTTAGTGCGAAAATGAGTGAAAAGTAATTATTGTTGTCCTAACCAAAGATGTTTGGATGGAAAATTTGGACTCAAGGACGCTTAATAGCAAGCCGCTTTACTCGAAACTAATTCAGCAGGTAACAAATGGACTTGTTGTGGCAGCCAATTGCTGAATTCCAGGAGAGGGTCTTGTTCAATAGCAGTGCAGCACTCACCAATTTCATCTACAGAAAATTAGTTTAAAAAAATTTAATATTTAAATGTATGAGAAATTATTCGTCCGAGCGACTTGACCATATACTTGTCATTTCATTTCATTTTTCTTGTGCGCTTTACCTTGAAGTAAGTCTCCAGTTGTCTCTTACCTAAACCATCTCTTGGTTTGCTCTGATGCTCCAGTGCTAACGAAAGTACCTCTCCTTTTTCAAAGAACTCGCGGAATAGCGTCGGGTGCAGACCATACACCACAAGTGACGACGGACCTCCACAAAATGTAAATGTTTTCTGCCAATGAAATGATTAGCCTGTTGCAGTTGTATTCTACCAGTTGTCACTAATTACAACTATTTTCATTTACCAAAAATCATCGGCTGCCATTATGAATTACTACTAACCAGATTCACTTGAAGGCTGTCGTCGCCTGTGGTGTGTAGTCTGCACCCAACGATTTTCTCGTTTTTTGAAAGGGAGGGTAAAATAATCCAGGTGAAGGTTGATAACTTCGGCTTTAAACCGAATAAATTGAAAACCAATAAGGAAAACTTCTAAATGGCTTGAGATGAGGAAGGAGCGATGGAAGGGCAATGAGAAAGAAGAAGAATAACGTGAAGTGACGAATCGCCAAAATGAGTCCAGCGAGAGGAGAAAATTTTGAATACTGAAAGCTCGAGCTGAAGTTGTTGAAAGCGCTCGATCAATAACATGTGACGGAGTGATAAGCTATCAGTGGAACAGAACGACTTCCGCTTCACAATTGTTTCGATAGATCTGCTCAGAGGTTTCTGCTCTTTTCCTATGCGGAACGCCCTACCCGATCTCCTTTGCTCCGTTACCGGGAAACTGCTCGCAAAACGAAACGGGTTTCATTTTTTGATGGATTTTTCGGAGTTTTTGCTGAATGAGCATGTGTCACGAATTTCGTTCTGGAAAACGGCTTCAGGAGAACCAAAAAGGGCACTGGCTAGATCCTCGTATACATTTGCTACAACATCTTTTTGACGACGACTTCCCTTCCTGGACACTTAAGGAATTCTTTCCGGAAAAATTTCGGTTTTTCCAAACATGAATATGTCAGTTGTGATCACTAGAGACAACATACAAAGTTTCACGCATGAAGATTCAGTTTCTGAAGAGAAACAAACTTACGAAAACCACACTATGGACGGTCGAAGGTAGGTCGCGCGGAGCCAAAGGCGGGGCATGGAAAGAAGTGCGCCTTGGGGCGGCCACGTATCAGGACGCAATGAAAGAATCGGGTTAAAGCGTGCGATTTTGGAGAGTAGAGACAAAACGATCGATAGAATAGGATGCAGTAGAAGTGTGAGATGTTAGTGCAATAAGTCAAAAGGCCAAAAAGAGTTTCTAGTGACAGCACTCCGTGAACCAAGTGGAAGCGTTCCCGCCGCCAGCATTTGTGACAGATGTCCGGCGGGAATTTGAACGCGTAGCAGTCCTTCCTTTTTCGAATTTTTACCAAAACAAATGCAATTTTTTGTTCTTTTCGTTCTTATCGTGAACGATGGGTCTCAAGCCAGTGATTTATGGGTGAGATAGAATCACGATTTTCCGGGAAAGAGTCCTTCCAAACCAACTGCATCCGCTCCTTTGAAATCTAATCCATTGCTGAATTTTACAACAATTTCTGGGCAATATGGGCGGATTTAGAGCAGGCAATGTTTGAACTTCAATGCTCGAGCAGAATAGACTCCATGCAAAAACGCAGTCTTACCCGTCGAGGAAGTTTGGTTATTACGAATCACCTCTCTCTCCCCACCCGTTTCCCCAGCTGGACTCCCACACCCTCTACGTCTTACAACCACCCATCCTCCATCCATCAAACAGCCTATTCGATACTATACTTGACTTTCACTACCAAGTCCCGTCGAACGGGGATGGGCATGCAATAAACACGATTAAAGCAATGATTACCCCAAAAGTCCTGCGAAATTGCCCAATTTAGCCAAATTCCGCGAGTAGTTCTCGGAAATTCTTATAAGTTTTCCTTGAAAAAACACACCGTAATCGAATCTTACTAACCCTTTCGAGCAGTACAAACACCATTACACCGCTAGTTCGACAATGTGCGACCCAACCCCAAAATTCGAGCAATCGAAAAATCCTCGACGTTGCCTCACACAGCTCCCAACCACACCTAGTCGATGAGTCGACTTTCTTTGTAAGGAATTTACGCTACTGTCAGCAGCAAAGCCAACAAGTAAAACACAGGCAGTTGACATCAGCGGGAACGTCCAAGTGCAAGGCCTATTACCTCAAACTCTGAGATACACGGCGGTGTCTACACGCGTTCCATTTGAATCAGGGCCTCTTCTGATAAGGAAGGTCACTACTTTCAAAATGACGCCTCTTGTGCCCCATTTCCTGAAATTCAGCTTTCCCAAGTGATTGACTGCATTCAAAGGTAACTTTAATGCGAAGTAAAAAAATAGCGAGGCCGAGCAGCATTATACGATGTAGGGGCATCGCACCTTTTTTCGAGTTCAAAGTGGAGGAAAGAAAAGAGCCAAGGGTTTTCTCGGTTACAATTTAGGAAATTTCTTCCTAAGCCACAAATCGATCGAAGCTGGAAATAAAACCTGTTTAGGTTACCTTTTTTTCCTACGTCTCCTAACCTAACCTACGCCAGCCATGTGGTCTCAGAATGGATGGATCTTTTCTGATGAGAAAACCACAGCCTAAAAAAAATCCTTCTTTAAAAAGGGCACCGGTGTCGGACTTGGACAGACGGCGCTTTCTCGTTGAAGTCGATCCACACGAGATAACGCCCATGTGGCCGTCACACCTCATATAGTGAGAGGTCACAGAGTTTTCCTCCCATGTAAGCGAGTTAGTCGCGGTGCGAGATTTCCATCGGTGAACTGACCACTACCGAAGTAGGGCGAGACAACTGCAGTTGGCACCATACGTCTCTTCAGTTTTCCGCCGTTTAAACTAAGCCAAACAACTTTGGGTACAGCGGAAATAGAGGGGCTATGCCAACCACGGCGGAAGACACAGGTGCTGGATCTACTAGAGAGCGCAAAAGCCAACAAATTCAGGAAAAGGTGCACTATGCCACACTATTGAAATCCGTTTTTCTGAAGGGGATCACTACGTTCAAAACCAATGTTTCTTACGCCCCAATTGTTGAAACCCAGTTTTTCCAAGCGGATTACGCTGAAAGTTAGCTAAGCACCTCATGTGGCTCACATATGTCAACAATCCTAGACGGGTACATGACAGGAGGCCCGTCGCGCGGCGAGATGGCAGAGACGCAGGACGGCCAGTCAGCGGCGGGCGGTCGCAGCGCATCCTGTATGAATTTAGACTCAGGTTAGATATAGTGTACCATACTACATCTCACATCGCACGCGACTAGCCCGTGACCCATCCGCGTCTCCACCATCTCACCGCGCGAGGGGCCTCCTGTCGGGTACCCGCGCATGAACACCCGAATAGGCGTTTGACTGCGACGCAATTTTTTTCGGAAGGAGAATTCGAAAGAATTCGATTTTGGGCACAAGATTGGGCAACAAGCACTACGCGCTGTCGAATGCTAGGATAAGAGCGTCGAAAGCATCAGACTGTCTGCCATGTACGAGAAAACTCGATAAAACCTCATTTATGTAACGATTTCAATCGTGAACTAAACAGGGGCAAGTGGTGGTTTCAAAACATCAAAGTGACCTCAAAAATATGAAATGTAGACTAAAAAGGCACAAGTAAATAACAATTGATACATAGCGATAAAACTAAAAAATGAAAATATGCACTTTAGAAGATCACGGATATTCAAATCATATTCTTTGGACTAGGGGTAAATGTGGGCATGGTTCGCCTATGACGAGCGTAAAGCTCCGCTACGTTCTAACGGCGGGATCTAAGGGCTATGGTAACGATAAAAGGTCTAAGGCCGATGTCAGACTTTGCGAATCGAGCGATTCGCTAGCGTCCGCGGTCGCGTTGCGGTACCAGCCAATTGAGTGATTCACTGGCCGCGACGCGACCGCAGACGCTAGCGAATCGCTCGATTCGCAAAGTCTGACATCGGCCTAAACATCAATCGAAAATCTATGTTCTACTGGTTACAAAACTACAAAAGCTTAACAGCGGATGTGAGTGGTTCCCCGGTAACTCAAGCGGGTGATTCTTCAACTCGGCTCCGCTTTTCTCTAGCTGACTTGACAGAATTCACAACTCCAGCAAGCCTGTCCTCATACTCGGCAAAGAGAACCTGGGTACCCATGAAATTACAAAGATAACACGCATATGACAACGCGAACGATGGCGAAAAGGAAGAGAGGCAGGTATCCTACGTGGACATCACCTCTGCTTCTAAAACGAGACCGACAGCTGGTCGCAGAACATTAATGCATGATCAATTGGATCCCCTAGAACTCTTAAATTGCGGTCTAATACGCTCTATACCCTGCAGACGTGCCCAGGCACATTACAGTTTAAAAATATGGTCGCTATTTAGGAGTACAATTACCTATGTGATGAGCATATAACACAATCCAACGATTAACTTTCCCTGCCTCCAGGACGGTAATGTGGGCAAATCAATTCGAAATCTCATTAAAAGGCTCTATATAAAGGCTTTTGGTTGTGTGGAGCAAAGTCTTGCAAAGACTATTTTACAGCCCTATTTGTAAGCTACATCTGAAAATGCTATGCCTATGAGGTGCTACTGGTTTCCTCAGGTTATCCAGTAGTGGGCGCTTTGCATTTCGTAATAGCCGCGACACCGTTCTGTCGTACGCGAAGAGTTCTTCCTCTCCAGAAAACATATTTGCTTGCACGTTGACCTAACGAATTTCGACTCATTAGGAAGTTGTAAATGATTTTACTCAATACAATTTCCAAAAACCATTTCAAATACCTACATTGGGATCATTCTTGCTCAAAACGTCCATCAGCAATCTTTGTGAATCGCTAAGTCCAACCTCTCCCTCCACATCAACATTCAGTTGGAAAAGTTTATCTACAGTTGCTTCAGCGCTGACGACTAATCGAACCTGGAAATGTAACAATTTGAGTACAGAAAATCTCATCAGAATACAGGCTAATACAAGGCTCCTGTTTCACAGGCAACAGCTATCAGGTGGTACCTCCTCACCTCTTGGATATTCGATAAATCTCTTCTAGGGACCAGAAGCAGCAAGTCCCAAGCCGGGAATGGGTCCCCTCACCCATAAACCCGCGGGGGTATGTCCTCAAGTTCGGCACACATATCCAGACTCGGCGACATGTCCCAACCTCTTTGATATACGCCGAGACGGGTGGATCCGCAAACTTGGGGTTGTATCCCCATTTCGGGGAGATATCCCTATCCCCGACATGCAGAAAGAGGCCTTTTGATGTGACAAAACTTTGTAGGGAATCAATGTCTAAGGTGTTCTCAGCATACATGATAAGGGCGGAGGCCCGCCCACAATGGGCGGGGCGGAGGCCCGCCCACAATGGGCGGGGCGTGCCCTGAAGTGTACAGCGTTTCCTACAAGTCCCATAATTCGGTTCCAAGAAGCTTTGAGAGCGGAAAAAGGTGGATAGAGGTTAGAGAAGGAGGGAGGCCAAATGTTAGTGGTGGGCGTCAGCACGAAAACGGGCGGAGGTTTGCAACCAAACCTATAACTCGGTTCCAAGAAGTCCCTGAGACTGGGAAAAAGTGGATAGAGGTTGGCGAGGAAACAAGGTTAACTGCTTTGGTGGGCGGGGCATGCACCAAAGTGGGCGGAGTTATCCACGAAACATTATAACTCGGTTCCAAGAAGTCCTAGAGACCGGGAAAAGGTTGGAAGTTGGCGAAGGAAAGAAGACCGACTGCCTTTGGTGGGCGGGGCAGCACCAGAGTAGGCGAGGTTTTCCACGAAGCTTCACAATTTGGTTCAGAGACTTCCACAAACCGGAAAAAGTGAACAAGTTTGACGAAGGGAGGGAGGCGAAAAGTTATTGGAAGGCGGGGCATGCATCAAAGTGGGCGGAAGTTGCTTCCAGACATATGACTCAGTTCCAGGAAGTTCCAGAGATCGGGAAAAAGTGGATAGAGGTCGCAGGATGGGAGGAAGTGAACTTCTAATGGTGATCGGAGCGTGCACCAAAGGTTGGCGCGGTTTGCCGCCAAGCATATAATCGCTTAGACAGTTCATAGACGGGGAAACGTGGGGAGAGATTGGCGAGGAAGAAAAAGGTGGGTGGGACATGCAACGAAATAGGTGGAGTCTACCACGAGATACATTAATACGTCTAGAAGGAAGGGAAAAGCGGACAATGGTTGACGATGGAGAGGTCAAAATCAAAATCAAACCATCGGTGAATGGAACATGGGGCATGCAGATAGAATCTAGCTTAGGAGTCGAATTTT